GAAAAAAAAAAAAAAAGTAAAGTTAACCTCACAATGCAAATATAATGTCATCATCCTTGGTTTAAAAGAAAAAAAGAGAACCTTAATCAAGAGAAAAGATTAAGTTAATTTTTTTTTCTGTCTTACATGTGAATGCATATTTATATCATTCTTTTTTGTTTTACTTTATTAAAATACAGATGATTATCTTTTTTTCACATATGACAGGGTAGGTGTGGTGTGCGAGAAGAGAAGACCTACACCCACACCCGGTTTTTCAGCAGATCTTTCGAAAATCAGGCTGAATTTCTGAAAACTGCCATAGAAGTATATTGAGTTTTTTACATGTTCGGAATCAGCATCGAAAATTGAATCGATTCATGTATGTTTGGAATCTGTCCACGAACTTTTTTTTCGTCGAAAATTTCAAACCTTAGAGTCCTCCTGATTAGGGGTGGCACTTTATCTTTATTTTGCTTTGAAAAAGTAAAGTAAAGTAAAGTTCTATACTTTACTTTATCCGGTAAAGTAAAGTTGGGTCACTTTACTTTACTGGGTAAAGTAAAACTCGACAAAAATATTTTTCACAGATAGATAAAAAAAACATACTTTCTCAACTTTACTTTTTGCAAATAAAGTGGTAAAGTACTTTACTTTACTGGTAAAGTAAAGTTCAATTACTTTACTTTACCGGGTAAAGTAAAGTTGAGTAACTTTACTTTACTTGTTAAAGTAAAGATAAAGTGCCACCCCTACTCCTGATGGGTAGGTAAAAAAATGAATTCAATCAAAAAGCCACTTAGACAGTAGAAAGCAGGTTCAGAGGTTCTAAAATTCATGACAAGCTTTGAAACATACATGAATCGACTCAGTTTTCGATGCTGATTCTGAATATGTAAAAAAATCAAAGTACTCCTATGACAGTTTTTAGAAATCTAGTTTAGTTTTCTAAAAATCCGCTGAAAAATTGAATCTTAAGATTTTTTTCTCAGCAAAGATCTTGCTTATGGAAATATGCTTCTGGATTTTGGTTATCAAATGCTAAAAAAGCGCGGGTTTCTAACTTGTTCCTATCGAAAGTTATTCAAAAAAATATCCGAGTACACTGACTTCTGACGCCGATAGTAGTCTAGCGTATTTCTTTAACATGTATTATCAATGAACCCATTTAAATAAGACAGATTCAGTGAAATAAATCGATCGTGAACTATGATAGCTTTTCTACAATATTTAGATGTTTTTTTTTTTGACTCTAAATAATTACTAAAAAGGATTGTAGCTTATTTGTTACAAGGGGGAAACAGCGGACTTCAAGACTTCAAGACTTCAAAAGACTTCAAAAGACTTCAACAGACTTCAACCGCAGTGACTTCATATTTTCACAAGACTTCAAAAGAGTTCTAAAGAGTTCTGAAGACTTCATAGGACTCCAAATGACTTCACAAGACTTTATAAGACTTCGTATGACTTCATAAGACTTCATGAGACTTCATGGGCCTTCAAAAGACTTCGTTAGACTTCACAGACTTCGTGAGACTTCACGGACTTCATGAGACTTCACGGATTTCATGAGACTTCAGAGACTTTGTAGGACTTCTTGAGACTTTATAAGACTTCATAAGACTTCATAAGACTTCACAAGACTTCATAAAACTTCATGAGACTTCATGAGACTTCAAGAGACTTCATAAGACTTCAAGAGACTTCAAGAGACTTCAAGAGACTTCATGAGACTTCATGAGACTTCATTAGAATTCAAGAGACTTCATGAGGCTTTATGAGACTTCACAAGACTTCACAAGACTTCACAGGACTTCAAGAGGCAGATTCCATGCGTATCAAAAAACCTTACAGAAATTACATGAAATTTCTATAACATGCAAAAAACAAAACTTATCATATAGAGATTACAAAAGTGTTTCTTGTTTCTGAGAATTGTTTCTCGCAGTATATCCATATCTAGAATAAAGATGTGACAATGACACAAAGCGTTGATGAAATTAAAACAGAGAAAATAAACTTTACTGGTATGCGTATGTTTGATTCGATTAATCCAGCATTGGAAAACTCCTATTTTCAGGTGCAAATAAATAACAAGACTAAATTTATACACAAGCAAACGACTTGTTGGTTATTGACCGACGAAGCTAGCCGTTTATCGGCTGATAGATTATCACGAGTGATAGAAATAAACAAAAAGGAATAAAATTCTTCATAAGATTGACATCGAATAAATGAAACATTTCTTATAAAAATAAACCACTTCATTCACAAAGCATTCAGTTCTTAACTATCATGTTTTCTAAGATCCAACAAACTTGAATTTTTTTCCAGTACCTTGACAAACAAACAATAAAAAGTTCACCTTTCTGCTAAAATAAGACCGTCGAAAACAAGACAATTTCATTGCTTTTTTATGAATTTTCATGCACTAAATGTATTTCAAAACTTCCATAAGAATTCATGAGACTTCAAAAGACTTCAAGAGACTTCAAGAGACTTCAAGAGACTTCATGAGACTTCATAAGACTTCATGAGACTTCATTAGAATTCAAGAGACTTCAAGAGACTTCATGAGACTTCATGGGACTTCATTAGACTTCATGAGACTTTATTAGACTTCATGAGACTTCGTGAGACTTCATTAGACTTCATGAGACTTCATGAGACTTCATAAGACTTCATAAGACTTTATGAGACTTCAGAAGACTTTATGAGACTTCAGAGACTTCAAGAGACTTTATGAGAATTCATGAGAATTCATAAGACTTCAAAGAGACTTCAGAAGACTTCGAAGGACTTTCAAGATTTCATGGGACTTCACGACTGAAGTCTCTGCTGTTTCCCCCTTGATTTGTTATCGATATATCAACGCATTCGATGCTACCCACAAGAATGATCTCGGCACTAAACTTAAAAAAAGTTCGATATCCAATTATGTTTCATTGATGATTTTTTTCCACATAACTTGTCCTGATTTTACAAAGTAACCATTTTTGATTCTTTTACCTTGATTCTGTTTTGCCGATGTTTTTTAATGCACGCTCGTTTTTGTCCCTCCTTCATAGATTCGTCTTTGCCAACATTTTACCTTAATATACCAACAAGAGGCAACTTCTTCGAACGATGCTTGTTCGGCATCATACTATATATAACGTCATTCGAGTACCATTGTTGCATTCGCATCATTTTTAGATAGAGCCATTTCATCTCTGTCGTCATGTTCAATAACATAAACACTGCTCTACGCTGACATTATGCTCGTCTTTTTAGATATGATGCATCATTTACCATCATTAGATAAATAAAAATAAATCGAGCGGAACATCATGCATGTTTGTAATTTGAGCAATTAATAACAAGTGGACGAGTTATCTTTTTTTTTATTATGTTCCATATACATAGAAAGTTACATCATAGAATATATATTTCGGCCAAAATAACAACTTTTCAGGTTTCAAGATTTTTTCTCGATCTCCTTAGTATTGAGTGTGTATGCGTGAATCTGTCTGCTGACATAATTAGCATTATTTATGCAGTTTAAATTTGATACTTTCTATTGATTAATTGATTAATTTGTTTTAATTGATTAATGTTTCGTTAACGATGTTATTTTCATCAGACTGTACATAAAAATGCACGCACACATGTATGTATACATATTGATTGATTTTTTCACTTTCCTATACAGCTTGTCGATAGTAATAGAACGAGTAAAATGATGCTGGACGAAGTTTCACTTCTGAAATTTGTTCCTTATCCTTTCTACCATCAGTGAATTATAAAATATAAGTGAAGAAGTCAAAAAAATAAAATGTGTCCTTTTATAAGTAGAAGTTAAGGGGGGGGGGCCCCCCTCAGAAACGATTTTCCACTTAAGATGGTCCTTTTGCGCTGAGATTTTCAGGAATGAGTGATCTTGGAGAGATACGCTTCTGGTAAAAATTTCAGATCGATTGGTCGCACTAGACCGGATTTCCAGCTGATTCACAGGTCATTCTTGGCCTTCAGGAGAATCGATATAACTTTGTCGTAAGATGGGGTAGAGAGCTCGGGTTGGTGTCAAATTAAAGCCAGAGTAAGTATGCAACTTTTGTCCGAACAGAATTTTGAAATTTAATCTCATTCATTTTTTATGAGCATTTTATTGGGATGGTCTTAAAATTAGCATAAAAAATGGTGGTCCAACGACAGTAAATCCCACTTTTCACAGTCCAGGAACCGACTTTAAAAAATCTGTTCGGACAAAAATTTACTCTCATTAAGACCTTTAAAACAAAAAGAAATTATTGGCTATAGCTTGAGACAGGACGGAGTTATTTCAATTTTTCTGTCTGGAAAACGTATTTTGAGAAAAACGCTGAAGAAATTTTAGAACTGGATTTTTTCATTCAAATCCAGAAAAATCATATTACAATGGTATATTATTAATTCATTCCAGTGGATCGTTTTAGACTACGTAAGAGACGAAGGTAACTAACGCCATCTGACATGCTGGGTAATATAAAAGTGTTCTACTCGATGCTAATGCAAGTGACAACGCAGTTTTTTCAAAACTGAAACATCTGAAAATTTCTCCGAAAATATGGTAGTAGCGTCAAAGTTTTATATAATAAGTCTTTGAAAATCTGGTCATTTTCCAAAAAGCTATATATATTCTGAAAGAGGAAGCTTCGTCGCATCTTCCTGTGATAGAAACTCAACTTCGATATTCCCTTGAAAAATTCGATTTTCTAAGGGGGGGGGGCCTCTTAATTTTGCACATTCCAATTCTAAGGAAACACAAGAAGCTAATATGAGTAACTTTATACGTGACAAAAAATGCACTGTTGTAATTTCTCTTCCTGCGCATTCTTTTAATCTTCAATTATCGTTTCGTTTGCATTTACTAATCCCTTTCTTTTTGATTTTAATATTTAAGGTCCTTCAAGATAATTGAAAAACACTCTCATTCGTTCTCTATCAGTTTTTCTTTTTTTTTTTGACGAAAATAAGTTCAACAGTATCACTAAAGCTATACAATGAAGTTCACTATACTCGCACTTTTCTTTGTACTGTAAGTGTTTCAGAGGCTGCAATTTTTCTAAAATTTCAACTATTTTCCACATTTTATTTTGCAGTCTCATCCATTGCAACAGTGCACCTATAAAAAGAGGTAAAACTTGACTCACATCTTCTTCAGATGTAATTTCACCTTATGTTCTCTCTTTTCTAGCTCCACTCTGTTCAAAAGCAACATGGAATTCCAAACCACTCACAGTCATCCCGTTTGATTCCAATCCTCAACAGCAATTAAATGACCCTATTGACATCACATTCGATAGCGAAGGTAGCTTCATTGTCACTGATGTTGGCACGCAAAGTTTACGTAAATTCTACGAAGATGGTCGTGTTACAACACTCTACACCAACAAAGATGTAATCCCCATCAGTGTCTTTGTCGATCAGTTTGATGATGATGCTATCTATTTCTCAGATCATCAAGATAATACAGTAAAAAAATTGTCAAAAGATGGAAAAATAATGAAAATCGTAGCTGATCATCAATTCCTAGAATCACCGATGGGTATTTATGTTGACCGTAAAGGAAATTTGTATGTTGGTGACATGGGAAAGAATCGTATTGTAAAATATTTGGCTAATAATCAAGGAATTCAAATAATTGGTCAAGGTGAGATAGAAGCGCCTTCAGGTATCTTCGTTGATGAAGATGGTGATGGCGCAGTGTATATAAGTGATACAGATGGTAACCGTATATTGAAGTATCTTTCGGGTTCAACAACAGGAGGTGTGACAGTCGCTGGTGGACAGGGCGAGGGAAATGGTTTAAATCAATTATCTGGACCCTTTCAAGTACTAGTTGATTCAACAACAGGTGATTTCTAAAAACATGAAATGGACTCTTGTGCTTTTAGACTTACTGTGAACCGAGACAGTCATTTGGTGAAACTGCGTCTTTTTATACAAAAGAGAAAGAGTTTCAGCTTATACTGAAATTCATAGCGTATTACGATAAATTTTGAAACACATCCTCATTCTCTCATCAAAGATGATAATCGGTGCTGTGTGTCGTCATTAGATTTGAAAAAATCACGTCGCCAAAAGTGAAAAGGAATTTGAATGACTCATCACTGCCATCGCTGATAAAAGAAAGCTTCTGCTAGAGAACTTCCTTCTGATCAAAATTTCGAATAAGTTTAAGATTGATAACAATTCCAGAAGAAACTAATATTCTAATGCGAACTCTTCTGTTTTTTTCTAGGTATGCTATTCATAAGTGATATGATTAACAAACGTATTGTGAAATGGGCCAAAGGTGCAAAACAAGGTGAAGTACTGAGTGGTACCACATCTCTTCAATGGGCTGCTGGAATGAAATTTGATTATGCATGGAATTTATTTGTAGTTGAACAGAGTAAAAAACGTGTAGTAGTTTTTGAGTATGATTCAAGTTCGTGTAAGAACTGACAGGTTATTTTTTAATATGTGAGAGTGGCAAAAAGAAGATAAAAAATAGAAAATAAAATATTGACCTGAAATCTTGTGGTTTCAGAGAAAGTTTGTATTTTTCCAAGTTCACGACTGCTTCAGTCTTGACTCTCCCCTTAAAAGCTTAGTGTTATAGCTCAGAACTTACACAATTCGCTATGTCGATTCTGCTATTTACAAATCAAACTGATCAAGAGATCGTATCAGAAACTGAACTCCAAGTATGCTCGTTGCTGTGGATAGTATTTCCTATATTCAAAAATGAACAATTTACATATTAGTGCTACTTATCGCCGTCTTGAGTAAAGCATTTGACGGTTCATCTTTTTAAACAAGAGTCAAGATTTTATTATGTTCTCGAATCAAGATAGATGCGAAATAAATACGTTGATCTTTAACAACGAGATTGACGATATATTTTCACCATATTTCTTTGTTTTGGGTGTGGGTGTGGATCGTATATGCTTCTACACCCACACCCTATATGGAATTTCTCTTTCTTGTTATGGCTATATATAGTTGTCATTTTGTTAACAATAAAGAGAGGAGAAAAAAGAGTCAGAGTTAAACCTAACATTTACATTTATCTGCATATCAACATGATGTCATCTTCATCACAAATTAAATGGAATTATCCTAATTGTCAAATTACTGTAACAGATCATCACAAATATGGCAATAATTGCCAAACAATGTTAGTTTGGACATATGTTGCCTCTGAAAAAACTGGTTTGTACAAGAACTATCATCGACATCGTGACAGATGTAATTATTGTACACCAGAACTTGAACAAGAAAGACAACAGCTAAAGGAAGAAAAGCAGATTTCAAAAGTTCATGAACTTCAAATGTTCTATGATGGTAAGCAGTATTTATTGTGTTTAGTCAGTGTTTGAACTTCACTTCTATTGTGTAGTTTACCTTGAATACCGAATAACAAAGCATCATGATTTACTTTATTGTTTTTACGTTCTAGAGCAACGTCCATGGTCAGAATGGAGTCGTGGCAATGGTTCATGCATACAACATACAGGACATGATATCGAACAAGTACAATTGTTATACAGTATGTGTGAGCAATTGCTTACAGAATATTGTACAAATAGAAAACGACAAGAGACGAAAAGCACAAATACACCATATTTACTTCCTATTAATCTACTTTCAATTACATTATTGTATTTGAAGCATTATCACTCTCTGGACTATATAGCAACAGAGTTAAATTTCGGTAAATCAACAATTCATTATTTTCTATCATCGGTGATAGATATATTATATTCGTCAGTATATTCAAAGTTGATTTTATTATTTGACGATATGGATGATGAAACTACAATACATGGACCAGAAGAAAGTCACAAACTAATTGTTGATTCGACCTTTGTTGCAATTTATCAACCTGAAGATTCTGAACAATGTAAGATGTATTATCATGCAAAAAGTCTAACAAACTATGCATTCAAAATACAGATAGCTTGTGATTTTAATTATTGCATAGTTCATGTATCTAAATGCTATCCGGGTAGTGTACATGATATTACTATTTTAAGAGAATCAGGATTATTAGAACATACAAAAGAACATGTACAAATTATTGCCGGTACAGGATATATTGGTGAACAATATGTTATTACTCCAAAAAAGAAATCTCGTGGTGGTGAATTAACAGCCGAAGATAAAGATTTCAATCGATCTATTTCCAGTGCAAGAGTAGCTATTGAAAACATTAATCAACGTATTAAAACTTATACTATTTTACGAAGTACTTACAAAGGAACTTACGATGATTTAGATAAGATTATTAAAATTTCACGTGTGGTTGCAGCTTTATGTAATCTTAAGTTGAGTAAAAATCCTATTCGTAAATCTAGAATATGATACTTTATCTGCAGCTCCTAGTTATTTTTTTTTCAATAAACGTATCCTAGATGAATATCTTGCTGTTTCAGATAGATCCTACGAATCACAATAAGTAAACCTGATAAAAGTATGGTACAGACAAAGATTTTACGAAGCTATTTGATATTTTGGCTATCGACTAGGAACAAAGTATATGATCGAAACAATAGCAGGTCATCAGCTCTTTATCAATACTATAACTGATAAAAAAATCACAGGTTTCTGATAATGAATAGGAGCTGTGGGATAATAAAAAAACCGGGGTCTCCGGCCAGACTGGACGCCCCCATATATATATATGGGTATGCGATAGAACGAAAGAAGAAACTAAAGAAAGAGCAAAAAAAGTTCTTCTTGCAGGAAATTTTGTTTGAAAAATTTTTGCTTCGGACTACACTATACCTCGCGCTCATATTCTAGGGTAATACTCAGTTTTTAGTGCTCTTTCTAACGATACCAATCTTACGTATTAGACCTTTAGAAAATTTTTTTCGATGGTTTGATATGAGAAATGAGAATCTTTCTGCTGCAAGGTAAACATAAAGAGAAGAGAAAAAGCAGGTGAGAATATGATCAGTGTGACAGAAAAGAAAATAAAGATATGTCTTAGAAAAATAAGTAAGAGAACATACATAGATTGATCATGGTTTCGCATTTTGCTACGAACTCTTTTTTTTTGGCTACCGAACTTAAAAAAAGGTTTTTTAGGAGAAGGTTCTTATGCTATATCCAAGATAAGAATCTTTTAAGGGTTCTGTAGAAATGAAAAGGCTTTTTTCGGACGTTTTGAGTCATTTGGATGCTATTCGAAATCTACCGAACCTTTTTGGGGGGTTTTGGAAAAAACCGATTTTTTTTTTTTAGAATGTAGTTAGACCAATCGATTGTATCGCATGTATCACAATGATGGAAATTATTTACATTAATAAAAAAACACATTTTTGTAGATCTTGAGATGAGGATTCTTTTAAAAAAGAAGTTCGTCTGATTCAATGAAAATTGAAAAACTTATCTCGAAAATACTGAGAGGTTCATTTCACCTGGCGCACGTGATATAATATAATTGATAAAAATCTAAACCTCAAGAAAAATGCTCTTTAAATGATGAGGAAAATATTTTGTTCCAGAAGTTGATTGAAATTTTGAAGTTGAAATAAAAAATTTGCCTATTCAGTGATTCTTTTAAAATTTCTGCTTGTTCTTCCATCACTCTAATTATTAGGAACATCGATGTAACTTCAAGCATTTTGTCAAGGTCTATAAGCATGCGTCTTTTTCTTCTTGCATCATTCGTAAACATGTATACGTATTTGATAAGTGTGACAACCATAATTACTAGCTTGAATAATTACCCACCCATACACCTTCACGCATGACATTTTCATTAATGTAGAAAAATTACCAACAATATTTTTTTTATGCGTGTGTTAACTTGTTGTTACACTGTTTATGTTGTGAAACATAAAATGAAGCGTTACTCTTCTAATTCTTCACTGTCTCTTCTCCATACAAGTAAAAGAACAGTAATTTACGCATCAGTGATCACAGCTATAAAACTGAATAACACAACAACAACATCACATATTCAACATATATTGGCAATATTACATTCCTGATTCAACTAAATTTTAGCCTTGTTTTTGTTTACAAGCCGTCACTGAATATTCTTCTGCGGTAATTACGACTATTATAGTTTTTAAATGCGATCTTAGTCAAATTTCTTATAAGATTTAAGAATTAAGATGCCTAGAGCAACACAATCAGTGATTGTCTCTAGAACGTAACCGATAAAATTAGATATATAAAAAGAGAGCAGTAACGTAAAACATGATACAAATGTTGTCTGTCTTTGTTCTTAATGTACCTCATTTGATCATTTACTACTTTATTTCAGAATTAAGACCAAATAGAGTTTTGCTAAATAAGTTATGATGTTAGAACTTACTGAACTGATGATACTATTGACGAGTCAGTCTCTGTAGTCAATGACTTAACTTACTCAATAGAAGAGGTTTTATGGAAGAAACTGTTTGAAAAAAATTGATGTAAGACGTTTCTAACATATTGAAACTTTGATTTTTTTTTGTAAGTATCTTATAGAAAGCTATAAAAGAGGTATAAAAAGTGCTCTTTATAAGAATAAGATTCTGATTCTTGAAATAACTTTGCAATCGAAAAGCAAGCGTATCCATTATACAAAAAATGGTTCTAAATAAACGCCATTTTCAACACCTTGTTGATATTCATTTCCAGACTTACGACGATGAGTCTACGTTGTTTTCGAGTCATTCGGACCATTTCTGGAAAGCGTTACATAGAATATTCAATGATCTATCTCCCAGCTCTCACTATAGTAAGCTTCTGATAGTAATCACATAATCACACGGATAGTGCATCATTTGGTCGTCAGTTTAGCTGCGTAGATAAGCTTTTTTTTTAGGCTACAAAATAATTATATATGACAAAGCAATAAACAGCAGTTATCAAAGAATCCCAAGACCCACATTGAATAAATGCAACCAATACAGAGAACTAATTGTTATGGACTTTAGACTTGCTAGTATATTGATTCCTTATCAGTCTAATTTTGATTACATTTTTTCATTTTTCTTCATAAATCATCGCCTTACTGGAAGAGTAAATATATTAGAAAATATATTTCACTAAAACATATACTAAATGTACATAGTGAGATAATTTATAGGTGAGACTGGTATCGACTAACATCCTACCTAACGCGATCTAGTATAAGATTCATCACCATCGGTATAACAAGCGATCAATACAACTTTCTTCAAAAGCAGTCCAATCTAAATATTTGTCAGAATTTTTCTGTTGTTTTTTCTTCACTTTCACATACTTTTGCAAAATATTGGCTGCAAAAAATACTTATTTTTGGATACAAAGTTAACATTATCATGTCCATGAATATTTCTATGAATAGACAAGAGCTAGAATACTATTAATACGTTAATTTTCGTTGAAAATATCTTGCATATTTCACGGGATTACTTCGATATGAATCCACAGTAGGGGTATCAGCGTTCCCCGTTCCCTAGTGTTCCATTCCTAGGAATGGGAACGCATCTCAAAATTGTATTTACGAGCTTTATTTCAACATGGCGAACTTTCTAGTAATCGTCACGTCTCTTTTTATGATTGAGTGTTCCGCGTTCCCGTTCCCATGAACGGGGAACGCAGTGGAGTTCCCATTCCTAGGAACGGAACGCAAAACTGATACCCCTAATCCACAGTATCGAGCATAAATTCGTAAGGGTGAATTTGTCATTTTTTGTTTGATTTCATATTATATATTCTGAGAATTCAAGAAAAGAAACTTACAATGTAAATACCGGTTCGGTCCTATCGGACTTATTTTGACCGGTTACAGCTATACTTAGCGTTAGTCATAACAAAATTTTCTGCTTTTTCAGATTGTATGGCTAATCAAGTTTATTTGTTTAAAATGGTGAAAAAATTTTCATAATCTATCATTCAATATTGCACATAGTTCTCTTATTATTTTTAGTTAGGGAACATTTCAAAATATTTACCGGTCGGCCGGCCGCTCTGCCGTTCTCGTGCCGCGGCATAACGGCACAACACATTTTTCTTTTCA